TAATAATAATAATAATAATAATAATAATAATAATACACTACAAGCAGCTCGATATACGTGAAAATTTGACTTATGGTACCACACTATAGGTTGCTATTCCGTCGGAGTCCATTTAGCGACATCACAAACTCTAATAAGACGCTGTGTCCAGGTCGAGATGTTAAGACGGACTGCGTGGGTTTTTTACGGCTTATCAACCTTTTGCAAATTATCTAAAGCCAGTATTTTTTTGTTTTTAGATTATAAGAATATTCTTCAGGTAATAAAGATTTACTGATAAAAGTCCTACTAATTAACCCATAGCTGGGGGGAAGAAGATGTGGATTCATATCTTTGTCAGTAGTATTTGTGCTTAAGTGAATATAATGAACCCGACTGGAATTGGAACACGGCTCTCTGACTTTCAATTCCGAACCGTTATCAATTACACCAGCTGCATATCCAAGCTTACAGAACCTGGTAATCCCATGCGTTCACCCATCTAGGTATGATCGTACGTGAAGCTTTGTGGTTGGGATTCTGCTCCCATAGCTTGGACGTAATCCCAGCCAGTGACGCTTACCTGTTATCAGTTCTCGCCAGATCGTTACGGTCATAATCATTAAGGTCACGTGGTCAAAGTTGAGCTGAGAGGCTTGGGGTCCATCAGGCTATCTTGCTCAGGACACATCACTGCTACTACAGCTGCAGTACATGTGGTGTCCCTAAGACACTAAATCGGTTACGGGACAAGGGATTGTGAGTTTCGCATAACTTCATGAATCTGACAAGCATTCCTTCCTTTTAATCTTTAACACTAGTATGGCCAGCTCTTTTGACATCTTTATTTTCATTACGCCGTGAAGCAGCCATCTCTAATATATTCAATATTCAAGTCAGGAATAACAAGTCTGAAAATTAATTCAAAAATATTAGTATACATACTGAAAGAAAGTGATATTATATATATATATATATATATATATATATATATATATATGTGTGTAAATTATGTGTGTGTGTATAGATAGATAGTTAAATAGATAGATAGGTTACATAAGCACAAGTATTATTACTTGTGATAAATTTTTCAATGCGTTTACCCTATAAGTAGCCTACGTGTCAAAAACGACACCTCGGCCATTCAAAGTAAAACCGCAAATATCAGCTATTCCACTGAATATTTTTAAAGAATTAAGTCTGTTAAGCATTTTTGCTAAAATTCAATAATTGTCCATAAGCCTCAGCGTCGAACCAAAACTAGTTATTCCATAGTAATCTGTTGAAAATTTGAAAGTGTCGAAAACGACACCTCGGCCATATTAGTGTTAATACTGAAATACTACTGAATATTAGTAAAGGTTGGTATTAATGGGTATGTAAAATGAGATGTCCTTCCAGGATATAGGTGATTATGGCTCTCCCCACATTCATTTACTGCATAACCTATAAATTTTCATGCTTTGGGGGGTAAAGCTAGGGGTGATTTCTCAAGGTTAGAGAGTCTAGTCTACCCTGCTATTTTACCCATATCTGGCGAAATAAGATACGGATCCTTACCTTTCACAAGGCCATGGTGCGAAAGTTAATGCAACAGACGAGCGCTGAATTTGAACTCGCCTATCTGGTTTCACTCCCCGCGCCGATATCAGCTACCCTGCTTACTCATCCTCTTTTTCAGTGGGTGGGGTGAGGTTTTTGGAAGCGACAGAGTTAATGACAACAAAAATAAATCGTCAGTATTCAGTGAGGTACCTGCACTTTGGCCTTCTACTTTCTGCGCGTGTCGAAAGGTTAACTTTCTGCCGAGCACACCAACCTTTTTGCGTCCCAAGAATCAATGAAACAGGGGTCGGCGCGAGGCACTTTTGAAAGCGAAGCATAAAAATAATTTCAGTTCAAAATTAGAATATTTGGAAATTGCTAACAATGAAGTTTGAAAATAGATCAACAATCAATTCATTGTTTTCTGTACGAGTAGCAACTAATAATCAAACAGTTGTAGCTAGCATTTTACCCCCGTCCACTAAGCAAGGCGATAAAGCCACGAAGACGCAAGTGGTTACTGAACGTGAATAAATCTGAGAAAACTTTTTTTGAGGCGAAAAGACAAAAAACAAAAAACAAAAAAAAAAGGATGCAAGGAGATAAAAGATGGCGATTGAAGTTGCATGTCAGTTTTTGAAGGTTGTAGTTGACAGAAAGCAATAAGCTGGAAGAGTGTTCAAACGGCGAGAAGTGAAGAGAGAAGAAACTATCAGAATAGAACTTACGGCTAAATTTAGCGATTTCAACTTTAACATTCTGCCAGTCTAGTCAGTCAGTTATGTGTCATGCGTGATACACGCTTAAGCGATCATGTACCTTTCGAGGCAGATTTTTCCCTACAGTAGGCTGCCATTTCTTTTTGCAGTAAACTAGTTGCCATCCAAAGCTATCTGTCTCGTTATTTACCCATAGTCAGTCAGTTATGTGCCATGCTTGATACATGCTTTAGCGATCATGTATCTTTCGATACATGACTGCCGAGGCAGATTTTACCCCGCAGTAGGTTGCCATTTCATTCTGCGGTAGGCTAGTTGCCATCCACGGCTATAGAACCCAGTCTGTCCTGTTATTTACCCAGTCAGTTATGTGTCAAGGGTATTGAACTCACTCTCTTTGGGTCCTGTCACTGGATCTAACTAACGCCTTTACTCACTGTGCCAAGTCTCCTTAAGGATAAAGGCGTTAGTTAGATCCTGTGACAGGATCCATAGAGTGTGAGTTCAATACCCGGTTAAGGCATTGGAGAACTTTCAGAGGGAAATTAAAAGGGGATAACTGATAACTGACATCCATTAAACATGGCACGTGGAATTAGAACAGTCTACCCCAGTGAGCGTAATAAAAGGTTTAGTTCGACATTCCAATCACCTGAAGAGTGTACAACGGCCGAAATGTTGTAATAAATATGGCGACAAAGATGAGGACAATAGTCTGAATAATGGAAACAGTGCACATAATACCTCGTCTCAGAAATATAAACAGATACTTAACTGTAGCAGTAGTTAATGTCTCTCGGTTGAACTCCCCGCTGGTGAGAGTCTCGGAATCACTATACATGAAAATGTTCAGTGTGATTAAGTTTTATTTATGCCACTGGACGTTGATTTAAACAGATCATTATCAAATATAACAATTATTATTATTATTATTATAATTATTATTATTATTATTTTCTCTTCTTTTTTCGCAAGGTTTTTTCGTTTTCAACCAGAGATCTTGTAGTACAATGCGAAACCTGCAGCGTCTTTTACAGAATATTTGCAGAGAAAAGCAACGTAGACTTCTGAAGCGATGTGATACTAAGCTTTATTCCAATTGTCTCAATATAGGATTTTAATTTCGGTGATACAGACCCCAATGTGGCGATGATACCTGAGACAATAATAGCCTGAACGTCCCACATTCTGGCAACTTATATCTAAATGTCGGTGTATGAAGTTTGTCATTTATCTTTAACCTTAAAATGATGGTAACCAGGAAGAACTGCATAGATAAGGAGATATTTTCCTGATTCTTCTTTCAACGAGGGTGATCTCTGGTTTGGTGCTGTTTTAGTTGGAAGTTGAAAATCCTACATAATCTTGACTTGTTCATTTTCAATCACATTAATTGGTTTGTAGAGTTACAATTTTCTGTCGGCTTCAAGCCTATCTTCCATATATAGGCATCAATGCAGATGAGAGACCACTCTGTCATGGCGGCGCTTGTAATTTTTCTGCTCAAGACACTATTTTAGGAAAGAGGACTTTATAAAACTCACTTTTTATTTTCTTATATATATAAAAAGAATTATTTTAATAAAATTCATAGAAAACTGATTATTATTATTTGTAGTAGTAGTAGTAGTAGTAGTAGTAGAAAGTTCGATATTTCAGCAATAATCGCATAATTCTTCTTCTTCGTTGTCTCCTTTTTCTTCGTCTTCTTCTTTGTCTTATAATTTGTCTTATTATTATTTCGTCTTCTTCTTCTACTATTACTACTACTACTTCGTCTTCTGCCTCGTCTTCTTATTCTTCGTCTTCTTCTTCTTCGCCTTCTTTTCTTATTCTTCGTCTTCTTCTTCTTCGCCTTCTTTTCTTCGTCTTCTTCTTCTTCTTCTTCGCCTTCTTTTCTTAGTCTTCGTCTTTTTTCTTCTTCGCCTTCTTTTCTTATTCTTCGTCTTCTTCTTCTTCGCCTTCTTTTCTTAATCTTCGTCTTTTTTCTTCTTCGCCTTCTTTTCTTATTCTTCGTCTTTTTTCTTCTTCGCCTTCTTTTCTTATTCTTCGTCTTTTTTCTTCTTCGCCTTCTTTTCTTATTCTTCGTCTTCTTCTTCTTCGCCTTCTTTTCTTATTCTTCGTCTTCTTCTTCTTCGCCTTCTTTTCTTAGTCTTCGTCTTCTTCTTCTTCGCCTTCTTTTCTTATTCTTCGTCTTCTTCTTCTTCGCCTTCTTTTCTTAGTCTTCGTCTTTTTTCTTCTTTATGTCTTCTTGTTCTTCGTCTTGTTTTTTTCTTCTTTCTTCTTCTTCTTTCTTCTTCTTCTTCTTCTTATTATTATTATTATTCGTCTGCTTCTTCTTCGTCGTCTTATTTTTCGTTTTAGTCTTCTTCTTCGCCTTACTTTTCTTTGTCTTCTTCGTCATTTTTCTTCTTTCTATCTTCTTCTTTATGTCGTCTTCGTCTTCTTCTTCTTCTTCTTCTTCTTCTTCTTCTTCTTCTTATTATTATTATTATTATTACTTACAATTGCTCGAGGTCGGAGTAGAAAAGGAGGAGATGCTTAGAACGGTGTGTATCTCGATATATTCGAACTAAACGAATTTACTCCAGGCGATATTGGCAACAATTACTTAACACCGGAAAAAAAGCTTATCAGTCGTGACTCACGTTGAACTTCTCCCGTTCCACCCATATCACTACATTGGCCAACATGTTGACTGGGGGGTCATTTGTGTCAGCTACTTGTGTCCCGAAATATGCTGAATGGGTTTAGAAATTAGAGAATTGAACTTAGCACGAAAAGAGGCCGAGGTGAGAGACGGTGAGCATCGGTTGAAACTGATTTCGGGCAAAGGAAGGGACAGTCTATAAGGAGGAAGTTGTTAAAGCCGTAATTAGTATCAAGTGTAAAATGGCTGCAATTAACCCAGACTTCACAAACGACCATAAAAGCCGTTTAAATAATCCAATTTAAGTAGCAAATTATTTTCAAACACTAAACGTATTTGTTTATGAGTTGAGTTTTCAATTCACACATTCAGAAGGAAAATGGTGTATAAGATTTGTTAAACTGTTTCGTTAAGTTGAAAGGGTTTTATAATGAGAAGAGCAAGAGGCAAATATTAACCAGTAATTATTATAGGAGATGGATGTGCAGGCGTAATGGTTAGAGTCAAATCGGCGGGCCAGGTTCAAATCCCCGTCAAGTTAGCTACATACATTTTCGTGCAAACAAAGTTATAAAATCACGTCTCCTTGCTCCGGCAACCTGTCTAGGTAATGGAAAACTCTGAATTCAAAACTGAAAATTGTCTATCTTGAATATTTATTTATCAGTCACCTATTCGTCTTTGCTTTGAATATTGCTGCCACATCTCGTATTCTCTAACACTCATTAACCACTCCTTGCGTCTTAGTGGCTTTATTGCCTTTCTTTGGAAGAAATAATTAAAGAATTGAATTTTCTTCTTAAAAATTCTATAATGATATTCTAAAAGTAAATCCGACACGATCAAGAGGAATTATTTTTAAAATTTACTTGTAAAATTCTGCCTTTTTGTTATAGTGAAACACACCTATTCTGTAGTTAATAGACTCTCCCACCTATAATAAGTATGTGTAGTAAGAGTAACGAGGGAAGTCGCTCAATGAGTTGGTCAGTCAGTCGATGCCGGACGACAGTTAGTCGGATACTAAAGTATCAGCGACCACAACTAGATTACTCTGCGTCATTAACTATTATATGAAGTTCCTAACGTTTTGTACGTCGAGCCTATTTTAGGACCGACTTAGTGCAAATACAAGCCTCCTCTGTGAAATCATTCCATAACACTTTTAATCTTCAATCATGAACAATTGCCATGTCCCTCCCGGACAACCCGTCAAGAAAAATAAAAACTCTGAATTCAAAACGGAATTACAGATGGTCAGACATGGGGTTCAGATATATCTGTAAAACAACACAGAAAACGATAGAATCAACAAAGCCATATCACGTTGAATTACTATCCGATCACCAAAGTTAAGCAACGTTCACCTTGCTAAATACCTAGATGGGTGAAAGCTTTGGAATACCAGGTGCTGTGAGCTTGGATGTACGAGTGGCGTGATGGATAAAAGCTCCGAATTAGAAATCGTAGAGCAGAGTTCGAATTCCAGTCATGTTCGTTACATACACTTACGCAAAATTATCCTGAAGAAAAGTATGAACCGGTCTCTTCTCTCCTAGATATGGGTTAAACAGCACAAGATTGCGTCCTGTAGCCTCGATTTACCTGACAGCCCATGGCAACGAAGGAAGGAAGGAAGGAAGGAAGGAAGGAAGGAAAGAAGGAAGGAAGGAAGGAAAGAAGGCTGATAATACTAATCGAATACAATTATTCAAATTGCTGTTGGCACCAACGGCCATTGTGCCCAAGAAAAGTGCCATTATGTTAAGCGATAGAGTTATATGTAGCAGACAATAATGAAAGGTTTTCAGGTGACAAAACCTTTCTACTTACAGTAACAAAATCTTGTTTCACGAATGAATAGATTACGAGTTGATAGAGTTGATATATTACGACAGGTTTTTACTGTGCAACTCAATGTTTTCAGATTAAAACTGATATATTTGTAAATTAATTAGAATATGATTATCTTTAGCTGATAAACATATAACGCGATTATCAGCTTATAATAACTTTTCTTATCAAAAAAAAAAAATAGCGTTACAATTTATCGTACGCTTACTTGGAGTAACGTCCATGGCAGGACAACTAATTGAAAGTCGAGACAGTAGTGTCTGGACATGATGAAAATCTGATGCAATCACGGATGACACAATATTTTCCAAGTCCAAATAAATTTCATCATACACCCCGAAAAAAGATTCATATTACTGCCAACCACTGCAAATGACCTAATCTGAGGAAGAAATAGTAATCGATTATACCCTGTCTCTCCAGAAGGTCTAAAGCTGACCGAATGGTGAAAGAAAGGAAACTAAAGCGGTTGTTACAATTAATTTGCACAAGGGTGTATATTACTTGTCTATATTTCTGAGATGAGGTATTATGTACATTATATACATTATTCGGACTATTGTCCTCATCTTTATTGCCATATTTATTACAACGTTTCGGCCGTTGTACGCTCCGGCCTTCTTCAGGTGGTTGGAATATCGGACTGAACCTTTTATTTCGATGACTGGGGTAGACTGTTCTAGTTCCACGTACCGTGTTTTTTAATGGATGTAAGTTATCTCCTGTCCATTTTCCCTCTGAAAGTTCTTCACTGCCTTAACCGGGTATTGAACTCACACTCTTTGGGTTCTCTCACTTGATCTAACCAACGCCTTTATCCACTGTGCCACGTGTCCTTGTACATTGTAATAAAATTCTATAGTAAAACAATTGGCTGTAGGACAAGTAATCGACAGTCGAGACAATAGTGTCTGGGCGTGATAAAAATCTGATGCAATCACGGATGACGCAATATTTTTCAAGACTAAACGAATTTCATCATGCGCCCCTTAAAATAGATTCATATTTATGCATACGACTACAAATGACCTAATCTGGGGAAGAAAAAGAAATCGATTACACCCTTCCACTCCAGTGGGTCGAAACTCACCGTATGGTGAAAGAAAGGAAACTAAAGCGGTTGTTTTAATTTGCACAAAAACAAAAAATCTTGTATCATGTGAGTGTCAGGTTTTTTTTATCGTTTCACCCCAAGCAATATCGCAGGAATTTACAAGAAGTGAAGTTGAAAGAAAATGGTAAAAATGAAATTGGAGACGATTGAGGAAAGAACATAAAAAGAAGGGTTAAAAAAGACATAAGGTGGCGATTGACGTTGCATTTAAATTTTTAAATATTGTAGTTATCAGGGAATCAAGGGAGTTCCACGGGTGAGAAGTACGAGAAAAAAAACTGTAGTGTAACTGTAAGTGTAGTAGTAGTGGCGATTGCATCTAGCTAGTTCAACAGAAACAACGATGTGACCGGCTGACGAATGTACACCCTTGTGGAAATTAATTGAAACGGAACTATTAATCCCGTTATTTAATTGTTCTGTATTTTTCCAATGAAACATGACACAGTGCACATATTAGTACTTCGAGAGTGCCCTGTTATGTTATTACGACTGCCGTTGTAGCTTGCTTCAAGACCAACTTACGTGGAAATGGCCCTTGAAAATATGATAATCAAGGCTGATAGGTTAAGTTTGTTATATACCGTAGTTATGAACCCTAATGGGTATGTCCCAATCCTCAAAAAATACGTTAGACACTATTGTAAGTGGAGGTAATATGTTGTCTAAGTTGTCCACCAGTAGCAGTGGTTTACCTACTTCACGACGCTGGCGAGTATTGTAGTTTGTTGATGTTATAAAGATTACCATTTCATTTTAAGCTCCGTTTTGTTTATTCCTCATTCAGTAACCATTTCTAGGTTACAACAATAGTACAGCCTTATAAAAAATTATAATTGAAATATATGTATTTATTTGGTTTGAAATTAAAAAAGGATAATAAATTCCATAATCAATAATTGCGTATCTTCAACATGATCCAGAGAATAAGGCAACAGACGACCGAAATATAAAAGATGGTGTTACAACATTTACAGCACAATGCTTTTGCCTTGCTCGCAGAAAATTTATTTTCTCTGTGTTAAAACCAGATAAATTGATGCTGTGTGAGGAGGCTATAAAAATTGCCCATTAGATGCTCAAACATTTATTCATACTTAATTAGTTATATCAATAAACAAGACTATTTTTAAAATTTCATTCAAATTACACCACAAAAAATATAGACAAGTATTGGTAAATATTCTAATAAAAATATCTTTTGTTTCAGAAGTAGCGAGCCACAGAAGAAGAGATTAAAAAACTACATTCATCAATTCTGAAGCGACACATTGGTTAAATTTGATTAACTTCTCACAAAATAGAATTTGTGAACCTACGCTGGCAGAATGTTTTTTTTCAAATTATAAACTGCAAGAGGTTCTAATGAATGGAAAGACGTTGAAATTACCGAATTTATCTGCATATTCGCAAGGTGTTGAAAACGCAGTTAAAGTAACTATTGGAGCTTCATCAATTGTATATGGACAAGAAGCAAGGCACAAGCACATTATTACTAAATTATTATACTATCAAATAAGACATTAATTTATTTTCAACAGAAATGTATGTGTTATATGAAACAAAGCAAGTTCAGTTGACCATTGATGAGAATTCCAGAATAACGTGACAATAAACAATTTTTTCTCTCCTCCGCGAGCCGCAATAATGGAGAAAGCATAACCACGAACCATCGCCAGTGAGACAAGCTGCAAGAGCCACTTTTTTTCGCGAGGCTCGTCCCTTAATCGAGACGCAATCAGCTTATTCAATTCAAGAGTTGAATAAGGCTAACCCATTTGGCGTTTGTTGAAATAGTCTATACTCATGAGGTGATTTTTGATTTCTCTGTTATGTAATGCATATGCTCTGTTATAATAAGTACATTGAGCTCTTTTTGTAGATTATACACACACACACACACACACACACACATATATATATATATATATATGAAGAAATATAGTTTTAAGGTTTGCTATATTTATCGGATAAAGTGCTCAATATCAGAGATAGAACATTTGTAAATATAAAAGTGGACATTAAAAAGTCCGTCGCCTCTGAGTGTTGATTTCACTGTCGACATATATATATATATATATATATATATATATATATATATATATATATATATATATATTGAATTTGTAGGTGTGATGTATTGGATCGTGATTACGATTGCAGTGCAATAAATTATAACCATGGAATATTAATGTTTGAGCCTTTTATATTATAATCTTAATCTGCCTGGACATTATATATATATATATATATATATATATATATATATATATATATATATATATATATATATATATATTGGTGCATGCGGAATGAATTCCAATAACCAACAATTACTATTCTTAAAAGAGTGCTCAATACAAAAGTAAAAGCAGATATAATTATTTTTTATATGAAAAAAAAATTATAATATACATATGTTATAAAATCACTACAAAAATAGCCATTTTGTTTCAACACCCTCGGTGTCTTATCAAGTGATGAGGTTGAAGATAAAAAATGGTTTTAAAAGTTTCAAATTAATTAACGATCCTTCGCTAGGGGAAAACATTGTTACAAAACCTAGAATGACCAATCAAACCCAAGTATAGGAAGATTCAAAAGCTTGACAACGAAATCATGTTATAATAGCTATTCAGATCTTTAAAATACGGGTAATATTAAAAAGAATTCATTCTAACCAATAATTATTAAATTATATGATAAAATTTGATATTAAAATTAAAAACTGCCAATTTTAAAATCCAAATTTAATCACTATTAAGTTTAAAACTATAAAATTACTGAGGAGAAAAGAAAAAATACATATGTTATTCAATTTATTTCTTCGTTGAAATTACGTTAGAACAACGCTACAATATCCGGACATTTGACAATACATGTATATATATTTTAATCCAAAGTGTGTGAATGGGGTCTTAAACTCACGCGCAAAACAACAAAAACGCAATCAGATTATAATACATAAGCACCCAGACATATTTAGATATATATACACACAAAAAAGCGACGAGACAGTAACATCTCCACAGCCCTTTATGAAAAAAGGAAACGGGGAAACCAACACCTACACACACACACACACACACAATTAAAAATGAATGCACTCTCCATACACATAGACACCGATAAATACATGTACATACATCCACAGACATTGACCTTGACAATCAGATACCACAATCAATAAATATTTAAGACTGAAAGTATCATTAAACAAATGATAGCCACTTATTTAAATATAACCTAAGCGAGCAAATACAGAAAGATAAAAATGGTTAAAAATAATATTATTTAATATATTAAAACGAAAATTCCAAAATCACAAATATCAATAAAAACATATTTTAATCATATAAGTTGGTAATAGTTTCATTATATATTAGGCGAAGGAAAACAGCATAAAGAAAACCTACAGAAATAAGTGCACTGTCATACGTATATACGTATATACACATATATACACAAACTAACAAACATATACATACATACATATACATATATACATATATATACACACACAAAAATACATACATATAAATATATAAACATAAACATATACACACATATACATATCTATGATAACAAGTACACATACACATACATACATATAAACATATATACACACATATATACACACATTTATGCACACCTACTCACATATATAAACACATATATACAGGCACCATTTGTGTGTGCATGTATTTGGATGTATG